CCATCAATTTGAAGGGGACACAAACCTTCAGTCCTGGGAAAATGCTGAGCAGGGAAGACGAGGCCTGTGGTTTGTCTAGACGGGGCAGATGGATGAATGGGGATACAGACTTGTGTCGGCTCTGCCTTCAGGGGCCCCCAAAACCCTCACAAGGCCTGGGGTTCCTCATAGCTGAAAAGCTGCGGCTTCCTGCTTCCAGGCAAGACCCTTGCATGCCTTCTTTAAGGCATGGCAGGTGTTCGCCCTGTGCCCACCCCCTTCCGGGGGTATGGAGCCCTCTCCAGTCCCGTGTTGGACAGGAGGGATTGAGAACAAGAAAGAAAACAAAAAAAAAAAAAAAAAAAAAGAAGGGCCTGTCGGAGTCACCAGCGGCGTGCTTATTCTGAGCCCTTCAGCAGGTTACTTAGTTTTGTCACAACCGCACTGGGCCAGGGGCATCACGGTCCCCACCAACTCCATCACTGGCTGCCCACTTAGGATCAAGACCACACTCTTGGGACTTCCCTGGCCGTCCAGTGGCTAGGACTCTGCACTTTCACTGCCAAGGGTCCAGGCTTGATCCCTGGTCGGGGAACTAAGATCCCGCAAGCCACATGATACAGTCCAGAAAAAAAACAAAAAACATTTTAAAAGAATAATTTTAGTTTCACAGACTAGATTGTTTCAAAGCAAATCCCTTATATCACATGTCATCTGTAAACACCCCAGGTTGAGTGTCTAAAAGATGAGAATTCTTTTGAAAAGGATAACCAGAAAACTACAAGGTGCCTCTCACAAAATGAACTTTTGAATTTCATTCCATGTCCTCCAGTCTGGGTTTATATTCCCCAGACTCATCAATGTTTTTAAAGGAATCTGATTTGTTCGAAACAGGATCCTGTTCACAGTCTCCAGCAGTTGGCACTCAGCTCGTCTGGCACATAGTAGGTGCTCAGTAAACACTTGCTGGGTGGCCAAATGTGGGGGGAAAAATAATCAAAACAACAACACACATTGGTAGAGTACTTCTCAAGCTGGGCCCCACGGATGTTCTCATCCTGCTAACCCTGGCGGCCATGCCAAGAGGTGATGTCTTTTGTGGTTCTGTTTTACAAAGGACAAAAAAGAGGCACAGAGAGGTCAAGTGACTTGTCTGAGGCCACACAGCAAGGACAAACCAGTGAAGCCGGCATGGGGCACCAGCGAACTGCGCCAGGTGCTACACTTTACCTGACAACAGCCTTCATCTCCAGGCAAGGAAATTGTGGGCAAGGTCGGCCTCACACACACCCAACTGTCCCCTAGGAGCATGAAGACAGACAGGCACTTGGCAGTTTCCCAGGCCAAGAGTTAATCCCCTCTCCACACTCGACCCCATCGGTGCCCTGCAGAGGGACTCCTGACCCACTTTCCCTCCTTCAGGAGGACCTCCTCTGGGCCCCAGAGGGAGGAGGCGAGTCATCTCAGCTTGCCCTGGCCCTGTCTGGTCATTCAATAAATATTTACTGATCATCACTAGCTGCCAGCCATTGTGGCAGGCCCAGGAGAACAAACAATGCCCAAGATCAAGTTTAAGTCCAGTGGGAAGACAGAACTTAAAGGAGACCACTAAATACTTTTATAACAGTCAATGGAAAAAGGGCATATGGAAAGGATGTAGAAGCTGCAGGTGCATCTGGGTAGGGTGGTCAGGGAGGACTTCCTGGAGGAGGTGAGACCAAGGCTGATGAATGTAAACTCCTAAAGCTACTGGTGGAGTTCTTTTTTTCTCCCTTTGATATTGATGCAGTTTATTCTGAACTTGGTGGTATTTTTTTTAATTGAAGTATAGTTGATTTACAATGTTTCAAGTTACAGCAAACTAATTCAGTTATATACTTATATTTATTCTATACTTATATTTATTCTTTTTCATATATTTTATATTATGATTGAAGGCAGGAGGAAAAGGGGAGGACAAAGGATGAGATGGTTGGATGGCATCACCGACTCGACGGATATGAGTATGAGCTAGCTCCAGGAGTTGGTGATGGAGCCAACTCCCAGAGCCAAGCTCAGGGAAGCCTGGCATGCTGCAGTCCATGGGGTTGCAAAGAGTCAGACACAACTGAGTGACTGAAATGAACTGAACTGGTATTCTTTTCCAGATTCTTTACCATTATAGGTTATTATAAGATACTGAGTATATAGTTCCCTGTGCTACACAGTCCATGCATGCTCAGTTGCTAAGTCCTGTCTGACATGTTGCGACCTCGTGGACTGTAACCCACCAGGCTTCCATGCCCATGGGATTTCTCAGGCAAGAATACTGGAGTGGGTTGCCATTTCCTCCTCCAGGGAATCTTCCTGACCCAAGGACCAAACCCCGGGATCAGAGGAGGCAGACCACAGAGTCTGAGAACTCTATGTTGGGGCGGTTTATTAAGTACTTATGAGGTGTAAGGGTTGGAGTCACAAAGACCCAAGGGTGGGATTTTTCTTCTGATTTGTTCACTGCTTTAACCCCAGTGCCCAGAAAAGGGGTTGGTTAACAGTAAGCTTTCGATGATTGATTTATGCCTGAATGAATGAAACAATTAATGAATCAATCAATCAATGAGTGACTGAGGAATTAATGAATGAGTGATTGAATCTTTGAAGGAGTGAGCAAATTTATGAATGAGTAAGTAACTGAGTCAGGAGTTAGGGAGTGAGTGAAGGCATCTGTATTCTAAATGCTGACTCTGTGAAGTGGCTGGGGAGGGAGGTGGATACAAAGAAGAAATTACTGCTCCCTGAGGGGTAGGAAATCCAACAAAGGCCTCTTAAAGGGGCTGATGCTCAAGTCAAATCTTAGTTTACGGGTGAGGCAGGCAGGGAGGGAGAGCATTCCAGATGGAGGGCACCGCACGGGCAAAGGCCTGGCGGGCTGACAATCGCCTGCGGTTCAGAATTACTGGGACGTAGGATGAAGGTGGTTGTAGAAAAGAGGTTGGTGGTAAGTCAGGGATGGGCCCCTAGGCTCTGGGACCAAGCATCTGAAGGCCGCCCTTAAGTGGTGAGGAGTCAGAAATTTTAAGCAGAAAAACAGTGGAATGGGACCTGACTGTGTCTGGCTGTAGGATTTCCCTAGCCAAGACCTTTCACCCTTTCACTGCCTTCCAGAGCAGGACTGAAGCCCAAACACATAATTCCCACTCCCAAGGCTGAATCTTTCATTACTTATAAAAAAAAAAAAATGCAGGTGTTTCAAAATATTTACCCAGCACCACCCAGGGCACAGAAATAATAGTTGAACTAACTGTTTACTTCTGCCAGGCCTGGGGTCAGCCTTGGTTATGTCCCAACAGCTCTGTAAGGTAAGTACATTCGGGCCCCATTTTATGAATGAGGAAACTGAGCTCAGAGAGGTTTATAGAATGGCCGTAAGTCACACAGCTACTTGGGAGTCACTCCAGAGCCCCTGTTGCCATCACTGTAACTGCCTAAAGCATTGGCCCTGGTTTCTGCCTTCAATTTGGAAAAGTAACCCACCACACTCAGGACAGGCACTCCAGGAAAGGCTGCCTTTGCCCAACTGGCCTCAGCTTTATATCACCGCCTGCTCTGGAGAACATGACAGTCACTGTTGTGTTCCCTAGGGGCTTCCCAGGTGGCTCAGTGATAACCCTTGGGTTGGGAAGATCCCCTGGAGAAAAATATGGTTACCCACTCCAGTATTCTTGCCTAGGAAATTCCATGCATGGAGGAACCTGGTGGGCCACAGTCCATGGGATCGATGACTTAGCGACTAAACAACAATTGTGTCCCCCTTGGGGCTGTTGTTGAGGACAGTGCTGTCAGTCCCAGCATGCTGCTGTGTCCCCTAGATAAAGAGAAAAGCCATAGGTTCTTCAGGCCCAGGAAAGCCAGACTCCTCCTGAACTCTTGTTTTCAGCCAGACTTCCCTTGAACTCTTAATTTGCTTTCACCTTTGAAACAGTGAGAATCTTGAAATTGATCCCATTTCCCTTCTTTGCTTTGGCTGCTAGGAAACTCAAACCAAATGTACATCCCAGCTCTGGAAACAGAAGGGTGCTTCAACATGAGTGTTTTTTTTTTTTTTTAATTTTCCTCCCCTCCTTTTTTTTAAAATTTTTTAAGTTTCTACATTAGAAAAAAACTTCATTGCTCTTGTTAGTTACTTCTCATTCATTTTGGCAAGAGGCAAGGTTACAGGTAAATACATACATACATGAAAAATGAATGAGTAACAATAACATCATGAGATCAGGGTTTCTCAACCTTGGTGATATTAATATTTGGAGCTAGCTCATTCATTGTCATGGGGGGCCATCCTGTGCACTGTGGGGTGTTTAGCAGTATCCCTGGCCTCTCCCCATCAGATAGCAACCCCCCAGCCCCTCAGCATGCTGTCAACCGAAGGTGTTCGTTGTAAGATGTCCCCAGGGGGCAAACTCACCCAGTTAAGAACCTCTGCTCTGGCTCACGCTCCTTAAAGGCAGGCCGAGATTGTTTAGGACAGCAACCAGGGACTTCCTCGGGGTGATAGTTGACAGGGTAAGAACGGCTGGCACAAGGGATGAACAAATGTCCATCCCATCACCCCTCTCCAGGCTTTCTGCCCCTAGAGCTCTTACCATCTCAATCCTCATGGCAGCCCCATAGAGTCAAAATTAGATCCCCACTTTACAGATAAAGGCACTGGGGTCCAGAGAGGCTGAGCACGTGGACCAAGGTCACACAGCACATGGGCGACAGGACAGAGAGGAGCAGGGAGTGGTCACTGCAAGACATTGGACGTAAGCTGGATTCCGGACTCAGACTTGACCAGGCAGCTGGAATCCCAGGTGGGGGAATCTGAGCATGAAATTGCCCATAGGTGGGCATCTGAACAGCTTACTTAAGACTGGGAGACTCATGAGAGAACCGAAAACGTGTATGTGGATGTTTGTAACAGCATCGTTCACAATAATCAGAAGGTGGAAACAACCCACACGGCCAACCACAAACGAACAGATAAACATGGTCTACTCACACAAATGGAATATTATTCAGTCATAAAAGGAATGAAGTCGGCTTCATGCTATGACGTGGATGAGTCTTAAAAACATCATGGGCAGTGAAAATAGCCAAACACGAAAGGTCACATATTGCATGATTCTGTTGACGTGAAATGTCCAGAATAGGCAAATCTGGAGACAAAAAGTAGATTCGTGGTGGCTGAGGGGTAGGGGGTAGGGGAAGTGGGAGGTAATAGCTAAAGGGGGCAGGGTTTCCTTCCCAGATGATGAAAATGTTCTAAAACTGTGATGGTTGCACAACTCTCTCTGTACTAAAAGTCATTGAACTGTACACTTTAAATGGGCAAATCAATCGGGACTTCCCTGGTAGTCCAGTGGTTGAGAATCCGCCTCCTAATGTAGGGGACACAGGTTCAATCCCTGGTCGGGGAAGATCCCACGTGCCACAGGGCAGCTAAGCCCATGTGCCGCAACTACTGAAGCCTGCATGCTTAGAGCCTGCGCTCTGCAACGAAGAGTAGCCCCACTCACCACAACTAGAGAAAGCCCACACACAGCAATGAAGACCCAGTGCTGCCAAATAAATAAACAAATGGGTGAATCGTTTGGTATGTGAATGATGTCTCAATAAAACTGTTAGAAAATAAAATAAAGACTGAGTGGGAGGATACTCCCAAAGCAGAAGATTCAGGCTTTAGTAGTATTGGCTGTGCTACTGCCTGGCTGCATGACCATGGACAAATCACTTCACCTCCCAGAGCCTCAGTTTCCTTATCTGTTAAATGGGTACATCCACAGTCCCCCATCTGCTAGGGTTCAAGGGAAGTTGAAGGAGCTAAAGCATGCAGCCCAGAGCCTGCCATTTGAGAGCACTATAGACATTAGCATCTACAGTATAGCTATAATGGACGTATAGTGTCCATTCCAGGAATGGGACAATTCTTTGGAATCAAAATCACACAGGCTTTCTTGCCCTGGGAAGAAAACAAAAGCCCTCACTGTCGTCCTAGCCCCCAATCCTAGAATCAGGCCGGCCTTCTTTCTCTAGACCCAAAGGGCCCAGTCTATCACTTATAGCTTCAAGAGACCAAATGACCCCAGGGGTCTGCAAAGAGGTCCTCATGGCTCCCATCACCTGGGGCTCTTGAATGCGTGCTCCACTCCCTGTAGTCCCAACTGCTCCTGGTGGCTTTGAGGACCTCAAAGTTAAAGAGAGGATGGCACTGACCATGCGAAATAACCCAGCCTGGGTGGGATGGGGTGAGGGGACTCCCCAAAGAAGCAAGTGTGTGTGGGGGGCTTATCCCTCAGAAACCTGTCCCTAGGGAAAAACAGAGGATCTCTAGCAACATGGCCTGGGGAAAAAAGTCTGTACTCTTTTCGGACCTGCCTCCACAGGCTCCAGGCCAAGAATGTGCACAGCAGCATCTATTACATTTCTAAAATTATGCCTAGGTCTGGGGGCGTTGGCCAGGGCTAGGAGCGGGAAGGGATGTGGTAGGCGGGCAGGCAGGCAGGAAACCTTTAATCCAGTGCCTTGTGGCCCGGCTTGCACACTGGGCAGCAGGAAAGGAGTGCCCCTTCAGCAGATGCTAGATNTAAAATACCCGATTCCCCCTTAAATTCAAATAATGAATAACTTTGTAGTATAAGTGTGTCCCAAATATTGCATGGGATATACTTACACTAAAGAAATCCCCTGTTAGTTCTCCGACAGTCTCTATTTTTCTTTGGTAATTCTAGCAATCCTACCCTCCCTCAGAAGGCATGTCTGTAAAAGCTCTTTGCCACCCACCACTGCCTGGAAATAGCTATTAAACCAGCATCTAATCAGGAACAAACTTCCCCGAGGCCTTTTGTCTGCTAAGCAGGATGGGAAGTAAGAGAGCACTCCCCCTTCTCCTACACACACGCGCACACGCACACGCACACACACAACACATGTTGCAAAGGCCTCTTCCTCTCCTGGGAGCTCTGAAGTCGCCACCTGGCCTGGGGAAGAGGTTTCTCTATAGTTGGGTGCCCAGCACGGCCACATGTCTGTGGGGAGGACAGAAACCCAGCCTTGGAGCCTGAGGATCTCAGAGCACTGCCCACACAGCCGAAACTGGAAGAGTGTATCTTGCACAAGACCAGCGCAGTAAGTCAGACGCTGTGACTCTGGGAACCGGGTGACCTTGGACTCAGGTGTCCTCTCATTCATTGGAGCTGGGGTTGCCCAGGGGTCAGCCTAGCGGGGGGCGGTGCTCAGGTCGATGGGAAGGCTCCTCCCTAGCTGTCCCCTTGGGTTTTCTGGAAGGTAGGTAGAGAATGAGGGAGGTAGGGCGCCAGGCAACCCCCAGGAGGTTTCTATGGGAAGATCTGGCTAACTTCTTGTGGCGCCACCTGTGGTCAGAACCGACAACACGTGACCAGTAGGTGGTGGCACCAACCCAGCTTGCAGGACTCTCATGGGAGCAGGAAACCTGGACAGAAAGTTACCCAAGGCCCAGGCAGGACAGACCTGGATCAGGAACCCAGAAGAGCCCTAGCAAGTAACAGGAGGGTCTCTCCAGCTTCCCATCTCCCCCTCCAGCTCAGAACTGGTGATCAACTTCTCCACCCGTGCTCCCCACTCCTCTGTCTGTCTGAGCCCCTGGGAAGGGTAGGGAGGTGAGGAGGAGCTAAAATGCCCCAGGGATGAGCCAGCTCTGTTTGGGAGCAGTTCTACCCTCGCTGGTGACTCAGGTGGTAAAGAATCCACCTGCAATGTGGGAGACCTGGGTTTGATCCCTGGGTAGGGAAGATCCCCTGGAGAAGGACATGGCAACCCACTCCAGTATTCTTGCCTGGAGAATCCCATGGATAGAGGAGCCTGGCGGGCTACAGTCCATGGGGTCGCAAAGAATCAGACACGACTGAACAGCTAAGCCGAGCACAGCAACGTGCCTACTCACAAAACAGGAGGATTAAAAGAGAAACGGAAAAGCACCGATGTCTTTCCTATGAGAACCAGTGTCAGTCAAGATCTCTCTTGAGAATTGTCTTTGGACCACGGATCACCTGCGGATTTCCTGGTGGTTCAGCAGTAAAGAATCTGCCTGCCAATACAGGAGATGCAGGTTTGATCGCTAAGCCAGGAAGATCCCCAAGCCAGGAAGATCCCCTGGAGAAGGAAATGGGAACCCACTCCAGTATTCTTGACTGGGAAATCCTATGGACAGAGGAGCCTGGTGGGCTACAGTCCACGGGGTCACAAAGAGTCAGACATGAGAGCAACTAACACTTTCACTTCCACCTTCCTAGCCCACAGGTCATTGGACACCATTTGGGAGGCTCCCTGTGGCTCCCAGAGACTTTCGAGAGTCCCTCTCCATCATCCCAGGATCCTGTTCCCTGGAGAGGCAGAGGGGCACTTGGTCCTTGCAAAAGCTGCCCTGTGTGGTGGCATAAGTAGGGCAGAGATGCCTTCTTCCCACGAGAGGGCCAGTCAACCAAGTTCTTTTTTATTTTTAATATTTTTATTTATTTATTTATTTGGCTGCATCAGGTCTTAGTTGCAGCATGTGGGTTCCCTGACCAGGGATCGAACCCAGGCCCTCTGCATTGGGAGTGCAGAGTCTTAGCCACTGGGCCACCAGGGAAATCCCCAACCGAATTCTTGATTCTAGTTTTTGTTCCCACTTCTGATCCTTGTGGGGTGGAAAGAGGAAAGGTGCTCACAGGGGCAGAAGCCAGAGGTGCTCTGTCACCAGGGAAACTCGCAATGCAGCCAGATGCAGGTCCCCAGGGCTGCTTTCTCCTGAGTAATTTGGTCACAATTGGGTTTGAGGGGTCAGACCCTATTGTCCTGCCTATTTAGACTTGTGGAGTCACAAAGAGTCAGACATGACTAAGCATGCATGCACACACTGCAAGGGCAGAGTAACATTCTCCCCTCCAATTGCCAACTCCTGGAGGGCAGGGACCCTGCTGATTCAGCATGGATGGACTCCTGCGAGAGCCCCCAGAGGGAGCAGGCAGTCAGGGAAGGCTTCCTGGAGGAAGTGGCACTGGTTGAAGCCAGAGTTCACTGCAGGGAGGAGCAGGAAGGACACTGTCTTACAGAAACAGTGAGATGGAAGGTGTGGCACATGGACTGACTGAGCAGACAGGTAACCCTGGGCAGCTCTGGCTGGTGGAACTGGAGCATGGGGTGGGGAATGGGGAGCTAGAGGAACAGCTGAACAGAGAACATTCTAGAAAGCAGGATTCAGATTCAAGAGAATCTTGAATCCTGACTCCTGCTGCCCGATGACTAAGCAAAGCCACTTCACTTGCTAAACCTCAGTTTCTTCATCTCTAAGACTCTGATGCTGGGAAAGACTGACAGCAGGAGGAGAAGGGGGCGATAGATGAGACGGTTGGTTTGGCATCATCAACTCAATGGACATGAGTTTCAGCAAACTCTGGGAGATGGTGAAGGACAGGGGAGCCTGGTGTGCTGCAGCCCAAGGGGTCACAAAGAGTCAGACACAACTGAGCGACTGAACAATAAGATGGGAACAACGCAGTGATGAACATTGCTGCTCTGGGGGGTCCCTTCACTCCCTGCCAGACCCTGGGGTCTGCATTTACCTGCACATCTCGCTCATTCCCATGACACCCCTAGAAAACAGGGGGCACCCTTATCTCCATTGTACAGATGGGGCGGTTGAGGCTTATGACGGTTCAGGAAGATGTCCTAGGTTCCAAGGTTCAGGGTTTGAACCCAGATCCCAGGATTTGAAGCCCAGGCTCAAACTGACCCTAGGAAGGAGCAGGGGGGACGCTGTTTGGAACGTGAACACAGTTGTCTCTCACTTTGTTTTTTCCTCCCTGGAGTGGCCATAGCAGTTAGCACAAACTGAGTGGCTTTGGGGAAAAAAAAAGATTGGGGCTTCCCTGGTGGTCCAGTGGTTAAGAATGCACCTAGCGATGCAGGGGACACAAGTTCAATCCCTGGCCCAGGAGGACCCAACATGCCTCAGGACAACTAAGCCCACGTGCCACCAAGACTGATGCCCACTCGCTCTAGAGCCCACGCTCCCAACAAGAAAAGCCGCCGCAGTGAGAGGCCCACACACCACCTCTCCAGAGTAGCCCCCGCTTGCTGCAACTAGGGAAAGCCCACACGCAGCAACGAAGACCCAGTGCAGCCAAAAATAAATAAA